CATTACTCAGTCCTTTGGGTAAAGGAGTTGGGACGTTATGTTGAGGTTGCACAGGACATTGGTGAGGCCCTTCTAGAATACAGTGTCCAGTTCTGGTCGCCCAGTCATAGGAAGGATATGATCAAGCTGCAGAGGGCTCAGAAGAGACTGACCAGGACGTTGCCAGTATGGAATGTTTAAGTTATAAGGAAAGGCTGGATAGGCTGGGACTGTTATCAATGGAGCATAGAAGGTTGAGAGGTGACCTAATAGAAGTTTATAAAATAATGAGAGTATACATAGAGTTGATGAAAGTTGTATTTTCCCTAAGCTGGGGAATTTCAAGACTAGGGGGCACATTTTTAAGGTTAAGAGGAGAGAAATTTAATGAAGACGTAAGAGGCAAAATTTTTGCACAGAGGGTGGTTTGTGTATGGAATAAACTTCCTGATGAAGTGCTGAATGCAGGTACAATTACAATATTTAAAAGACATTTGGATGGATATATGAATAAGAAAGGTTTGGAGGGATATGGGCCAGGAGCAGGCAGGTGGGACTGGTTTATTTTGGGATTATGTTCCTCATGGACTGGTTGGACTGAAGAATTTGTTTCAGTGCTGTATGACTCTATAACTCTATGACTAAATACACTTAGGGGAGGACAAGGCAACCATGGCTGACAAGGAAAGTCAGAGACAGCATAAAAGCAAACGAACAAGCATACAATGTGGTGAAAATTAGTGAGAAGCCAGAGGATTCCAGCAGAGAATAACCGCAAAAGCATTAAGGGGCGAGAAGATGAAATATGAGGGTGAGTTAGTTAGTGATACAAAAAAGTTTGCAAGACTTTGTTTAGATGTATAAAATGTAAGAGAGAGGGGAGTGTGGACATCGGACTGCTGGAAAATGAGGCTGGACAAGTAGTGATGAGGAATAAAGAAATAGTGGAGAAACTGAATACATACTTTGTATCAGCCTTCATGGTCGAAGACACCAGTAGCATACTAGAACTTCAACTCAGTCAGGGGGCAGAGGTGCCAACACTAAGGAGAAGGTGCTGGGGAAGCTGAAAGGTCGAACAATGGATAAATCACCCAGACCAGATGGACTACACTCCAGATTTTTGAAGAGGATGGCTGAGGAGATTGTGGAGACATTGGTAGTGATCCTTCAGGAATCAATAGAGTCAGGGAGGATCCCAGAACAGGAAATTGACTAATGTAACAGAAGATAGGGAGACAGAAGATGGTAAATTATAGGCCAGTCACTGGTAAGATTTTAGAATTCATTATTAATGATGAGATTGCAGAGTTGGAAGTGCATGATAAAATAGGGCTGAGTCAGCACAGATTCATCAAGGGGAGGTCATGCCTGACAAATCTATTAGAAATCTTTGAGGAGGTAATCAGCAAGTTAAACAAAGGAGAGCCAGCGGATGTGATCTATTTGTATTTCTAGAAGGCCTTTGACAAGGTACCACACAGGAGGCTGCTAAATAAGATAAGAAACCATGGTGTTGAGGGCAAGGTACTGACATGGATAGAGGATCAGCTGACTGGCAGAAGGCAGGGAGTTCTTTTTACTCATTCACGGGAAGTGGGCATCATTGGTTAGGCCAGCATTTATTGGCCATCCCAAATTACCCAGAGGGCAGTTAAGAGTCAACCATATTGCTGTGGGTCTGGAGTCACATGTAGGCCAGACCAGACAAGGATGGCTATTTCCTTCCCTAAAGGACATTAATGAGGTTTTTCCAACATTTGGCAATGGATTCATTGTAATCATTAGACTATTAATTCCAGATTTTTATTGAATTCAAATTCTACCATCTACCATGGGAGGATTCAAAGCTAGCTCCCCAGAACAATACCTGGGTCTCTGGATTAACAGGCCAGCGATAATACCACTAGGCCATCGCCTAGATAAAGGATCTTTTCCAGGATGCAACTGGTGACTAGTGGAGTTCTGCAGGGGTCAGTGGTGGGACCACAACTATTCACGTTATAAATTAACAATCTGGATGAAGATATTGAAGGTATTGTTGCTAAATGTGCAGATGACACAAAGGTAGCTGGAGGGACAGGTGGTGTCAAGGATGCGGGGAGGCAGCAGAAGGATTTGGACATGCTAGGAGTGTGGGCAAAGAAGTGGCAGATGGAATAGAATGTGGGAAAGTGTGAAGTTATGCACTTTGGTAAGAAGAATAACAGTGTGGACTGTTCTCTAAATGGGGAAAGTCTTTGGAATCTGAAGCACAAAGGGACTTGGGAGCTCTAGTTCAGGATTCTCTTAATGTTAACATGCAAGTTCAGTTGACGGTTAGGAAGGCATTGTTTGCATTCATTTCAAGAGGGCTAGAGTACAAGACCAGGGATGTATGGTTGAAACTGTGTAAGGCTCTGGTCAGACCATATTTGGAATATTGTGAGCATTTTGGGCCCTGTATCTAAGGAAGAATGTGTTGGCCTTAAAAGGGGCCAGAGAAGATTCACAAGAAAAATAAAAACTGAAAGAACTGCGGATGCTGTAAATCAGAAACAAAAACAAAGATGCTGGCCAAGCTCAGCAGGTTTGGCAGCATCTGTGAAGAAAAAATCAGAGTTAACATTTCAGGTCCGGTGACCCTTCCTCAGAACTGCGGTGGATCTCTGGAATGAAGGGCTAATCAGATGAGCAGCATTTGAGGACTCTCAGTACTCAATGGAGTTTAGAGTGATGAGGTAAGGATCTGATTGCAATTTATGGAAATACTGAGAGGCCTGCATACAGTAGACAAGGAGAAGATGTTTCCATTAATATGTAGACTGAGACCTAAGGGCACAGCCTCAGAGTGAAGGCATGATGCTTTAGACCTGAGATGAGGAGAATTTCTTCAGCCAAAGGGTTGTGAATCTGAAGAACTCATTGCTGCAGAATGCTTTGGAGACCAAATCTTTGGGAGATAGATAGGTTCCTGATTAATAAGAGGATCCAGGGTTACGGGGAGAAGGTAGGAGAATGGGGTTGAGAAACATATCAGCCATGATCGATTGGCATAGTAGACTCGATGGGCTGAATAGCTTAATTCTATTCTACCTTATGGTTTTATAAATTGAGCAATCTACACAGGATGCAATTCTCCAAAGTGCTGCAGGATGTAGCATATGGACCTGGGAGGCCTGTGCAGCTGGAAAGACAATGAGGGGGAATTCTGAGCCTAAAAACAGTATCTTGTACAAGGAAAATAGAATTATTATCTCCAAGAAGATGAGAAAAGAGATATCGTAATGCATTCACGCAAGCAGTCAAGGAATTAAATGTATTCTGAGGAAGGCAAAGTGCTCTACTGACCAAACACGAGCTGTGTGATTAATGACCACATCAGTAAGTGCAGACGAAGCCAAGTAAGCTAAAGAGCTGCTTATAATGCTTCCTGCTTCAGAACTTCAACCCAACTTCATCATGGCTAATACTGTGGGAAATGTAGTTCTGACCATGTGGATGAACAGGGGCAATTGGTGCGGAAAGACTACAACTCCTGGATAAATTTCAGGAAAAACTGCAACAAAGCTGATAGGAGCTACATCTTAAAGAAAAAAGCCGAATTCAAGAATTTTGATACACTGTAGCAATTCATCACCTGGTTTAATGTTTTGCGATCGTATGTTAAATATACAAACATTTGTAGCTTTCTTTAAAATATTGCAAATGTTGTATAGCTTTATTGTTGGTCCACCTTAAATTGTAGACATTTATGTTTTTATTTAACCTTTATTTTCCCTCATGAACCTGTTCAGAGATGTTATTACACACCTTGGAATAGGTAGGACTTGCACCTGGAGCCTCCCAGACTCGGGGTAAGAACACTACCACTGCATTACATGTACATTTTTAAGTAACTTTTTAGTTTTGAAACTTAAGTGTATTTGGAATTGAACTCATTCCATGTTAGAAATAAAATGTTATATCTATATAATATAGGGGAATTGAGTTTAAGAGCCGCGAGGTTGTGCTGCAGCTCTATAAAATCCTGGTTAGACCACATTTGGAATATTGTGTTCAGTTCTCGTCGCCTCATTATATGAAAGACGTGGAAGCTTTAGAGAGGGTGCAGAGGAGATTTACTAGGATGCTGCCTGGACTGGAGGGCCAGTCTTTTGAGGAAAGGTTGAGGGAGCTAGGGCTTTTTTCATTGGAGCAAAGAAGGATGAGAGGTGACTTGATAGAGGTGTACAAGATGATGAGAGGCATTGATAGTGTGGATACCCAGAGACTTTTTCCCAGGGCAGAAATGACTATTACAAGGGGGCATAATTTTAAGGTGATTGGAGGAAGGTATAGGGGAGATGTCAGAGGTAGTTTCTTCACACAGAGAGTGGTGGGCGTGTGGAAATGCGCTGCTGGCAGTGGTAGTGCAGTCAGATAAATTAGAGACATTTAAGCGACTCTTGGATAGGTACATGGACGATACTATAATGTAGGGTATGCAGGGTAGATTGAGCTTAGTAGGATAATAGGTTGGCACAACATCTTGGGCCGAAGGGCCTGTACTGTGCTGTACTGTTCTATGTTCTATATGGTTGGGCCTCTGTTCCTGAATTTAGAGAGGAATAGTATGAACAACAAACATTGATTAAGTTGAAATTAAATGCAAATTCAAACAATTTTTTTTAATCAGGTGTTGAAATTGCTCCTCTGATGCTGCTTGGCCTGTTGTGTTCATCCAGCCCTACACCTTGTTATCTCAGATTCTCCTGCATCTGCAGTTCCTACTATCGTTGAAAATTATTTCTTTGCTTAATGTATGGTGTGCATTGCTGAAAAATGGTTTTGACCTGTTTTCTGGAACCTTCTTTGGTATTATGAGAGGGATCAGTAGCCAATGACAATAAATCCTTAATCAGATCACTCAGATTAAGAGAGGCTCAGTGATAAAGCCCTGAGTCCAGATTCCATTTGTCTCATAAATTTACAGACGAAAGTAAATTCAATTCTAAACTGGACAAAAGGTGGGATTGAATGCTTTCCGAGTTTATGCAGGAATGGCCCTGGTGAAGAGTGGCTGGCTGTGGAGACAAAGTGAGTGTTTTTGAAGTGTAGATTTGTTTGGAGACATAATTCTGAAAAGGATTTAGAATATACAGCCGTACATTAATTTTATTAAGTTTAAATTTCACATCCATTGGAAGCTTATAATGACTGTTTGAAGTAATTCAAACAATCAGTAGTTCCAGTAATGTTCACAGTTTTACCATATTTTCAAATGACTTGTATTAAGAAACATAATATCCCCACTCATACGACAGGTTTTTTTAAGAGGGAGCAGTTTTAATTTAGAGTCATAGAGATCCGAAGCAAAGAGAAAAGGCCCTTCAACCCATCTAGTCTGCAATTATTTATAATTAGCCATTGACTTTAATAGCAGTATACACAATGGGTTTCTTGAATTATTCATTAACACATGAATGTCATAAAGGGCGTATAAAATACATGAAGAAAATATGTAACTTTGTCTGTATGCAGCCTCAATTCTTCGGAGATGGAAGAAGAACTGGTTTGATTTGTGGCTGGATGGTATCCTTGTATATTATGAAGATGAAAATCGTCGTCAGCTGGAAGACAGTATCCATCTAAAAATAAACTGCATAAATATAAAGGCAGGGTATGAATGCATAGGTAAGCATTTACTGTTATTTGTACAGTTTGCAATGTCATGTTTCAAAAGTCATCAATAAGCTAACTAAACATGTTTAAGGTTGAGGACATTTGAAATTCATTTGATGCTGTGAGTAAAAATCTCCCAAGTGAAGTTTGGGCAGTTTCTGTCTTTTTGAATAGTTGATGTGAGAAGTGGTAAGGTTCATACTGATGCAGTAAATGTGGTATACTTGCCTACTATGGTGAGCAACGACCCATTAAACTTGCTTAGTGTGATAAGGTTCCTCTTCTTTGGGATTGAGGGGCGCATTTGTCTTCTCGTTGCTTTCCTGAGGCTTGAGTTTGTGTATCATTAGAAATAAAAAAAAATGTGATGGTGTAGAGGGTAGTATATCAGCATGGGACAATGTAATGTGTGGAGTGCCACATGGATTGGTGCTGGGACTTCAACTATTGACAATTTATATAATGACTTGGATGAAGAGACAGAAGGTATGGTTGCCAAATTTGCTGACAGAAAAAAGAGAGATCAGCAATTAAGATGTGTAGAGCACACAAGGAGTCTATGAAAAAGAATATAAATTGGTGAAGTGAGTGAACAAAGATGTGGCACATGGAACAGAATGTGGGAAAATATGAAATTATCCATTTTGGCAGTTGGAATAAAAACAATGATTCTTATCTAAGTAGTGACGATTGAAGAGATCTGAGAGGCAGAGAGATCTGGTTGTCCTCATGCATGAGTCACAGAAGGTTAGTCTGCAGGTACTTCAAGCACTTAAGAAAGCTAATAGAATATTATAATTTATTGCAAATTGAATTGAACACTAAAGCAGAAAATTAATGCTTCAGTTATGCAGGGTAATAGTGAGACCACATCTGGAGTACTGTGCACAGCATTGGTCTCCTTATTTAAGGATGTATGTAACTGCTTTGGAGGCAGTTCCGAAAAGGTTTACAAGACTAATACTTGGAATATGGGGGCTGTCTTATGAGGAAATGCTGGACAGCCTTGTATTGTATCTATTGGAGTTTAGAAGAGTAAAAGTTGATATGATTAAAACATTTTTTTGTATTCATTCACAGACAATGAATTTTGCTAGCTAGGCCAGCATTTATTGCCCATCCCCAATTGGCTCTACTGCACCTTTTACAAACAACATCAGTTTCATGGTCACCATTAGATTCCAAATTCCATATTTTTAAATTGAATCCAAATTCCACCATCTGCTGTGGTTGGATTCAAACCTGGGTCCCCAAAATATTACTGGGGCTTTCTGGATTAATAGTCTAGTCATTGCCTTCCCCTGCTTAACAGGGGAGATGCGGAGAGAATGCTTTGTCTTGTGGGTGAATCTAGAACCAGGGGTCACTTTTAAAAATCAGGGGTTTACTCAGTTAAACAAGGATGAGGCAATTTTTTTTCTGTCACATAGTTAAAAGTCTTTGGAACTCTTTTTTCCAAGAAGATAATGGCAACAGAATGCTTGAATATTTTTAAGACAGGGCTAGATACATTCTTGATTCAAAGGGGTAAAAAAATGTCAAGGGTAGGTGGGAATGCAGATTTGAGTTAACAATCAAATCGGCCATGATCTCATTGAATGGTAGAGCAGGGCTCAAGGGGCCACTTAACCTACTCTTCCTAATTTACGTGTTTGTTGAAATTGAGTAACTCCTTCACAATAATAAGACTACTCCTGTCTTGAGAAGGAGATCAAAATCTAGAATTGTTATCAAACAAGGCTGTGTGATAACTGCCGCAATATTTATAATCTACTTGACAGTGACTGCTCTTCTCATCAATCATCAGCAAAAGAAGGGTCACTGGACTCTACTTCCTCTCCACAGATGCTGCTAGACCTGCTGAGTTTCTCCAGCAATTTCTGATTTTGTTTCAGTTTTCCAGCATCCTCAGTTCTTCATTTTATTTTAATGATCAACTGCCTTTTGGTGTATTAAACACCTCCTGGATAGAAAACTTTTTTGCCTCAGTTGGTTCCGTGCTAAAACTAAACTGACCACTATAGACATAAATGATCTGCAGTTTATGGATGTTTTTAGTGTTATTGCTTACACTGCCCTAGGTTTATAAGCTACTGTCAAACTCCTCAATTCTGCAGACAAGAAACCTGGTGTATCCTTTTGAAAATTGTAAAAATGAAACCCTGATATCAATCTGATCAGCTAAATATTGTGGCAGAACAGACTCTGGAATGTGTTGAGCACTTAGCCCCCACTCCAAGATCTAGATCATTTTTATGTATCTGAAAAAGCACCAGTCTGTGTACTGACCCCTTTGGAACTCTCCTACAAACCTTCCTCCGCACCAAAAAACTTCAGGTTCTGCAGGTGCTGGAGATCTGAAATAAAGCAGAAAGTGCTGGAGAAACACAGCAGGTCTGGCAACAACTGTGGAGAGAGAAAAAAAAAGCTTCAAATCAAAATGACTCTCTTCTTCAGGACTAAAAGTTTAGGATTTGGACAAATCCCACATTTTCCATCTCCATGTGACTATTAATTCTATCCCAAATAATTGTTTTTAGAAGTTCCCACCACAAACATGGTCTATAGTTGCTGGGCCATTTCTGAACAAAGGCATAATGTTTATGATGCTCCAATCCTCCGATACCACCCCTGAATTCAGGGAAGATTGATAAATTGTTGCCAGTGCCTCTCCAATTTTCACTCTCATTCCTTCAAAAGCCTTGGATGCATCTCATCTGCTCCCAGGACCCTATTAACTTCAAGTACTGACAGCTTATTTACTAACCCTCTCCTTATCAATTTTAAACCCTTGTAGTGACTGTTTCCTCCTCTGTCACTGTGGCCTGTGCAGGTCTGCCTCATGACTAAAGGTGGATACAAAGTATTCATGAGCAACTTGGTCATGCCTCTTGACTCCTTGTGTAAATCCCGTCTTTGGTCCTTAATTGGCTTTACTCCACTTTTTATTACCCTTTCACTATTGATGTGGCGATAGATGTCTTTGGGATTTGATTAAGAGCAAAATGCTGTCAATGTTGGAAATCTGAAACAAGCACAGAGTGCTGGAGAAGCTCAGCAGGTCTGGCAGCATCCATGGAGAAACAGACAAAGTTAATGTTTTCAGTCCAATATGACTGTTCTTCAGAACATTTTGGGATTTATGTTATGTGAACTGTCAGTTTTTTTTTTGCTTCTTGCGTTTGCTTTTTCAACTCCCTTTTGCACCTCCAATATTCAGCTTGATTTTCAATTGTATTTATTACTTTACACGCAGCAATGATGATGAGAAGTCTGGCACTTTGGAGGTGCTGTACAATTCAGTCAATACGACAATGTCCAATTCTTGTTTAACTGGCCTACATGACGGCTTTCCCAATGTTAGCCCACATCACCATATGTTAGCATGCAGAGTTTTGCCATATCAGCTGGGCAGATTGTGACTTAGTCATTTCTGGTGCCTAAGTTGATGGCAGGAGATGGGCAGGTTTTATTCTTAATTGACATTTCCACAGCAGTATGATGCAACTGATTGCCTTGCTAGGCCATTTCAGAAGAGAGGGAAGAAACTATCAGATCACTGTGGATTTGGATTCCAATGTAGGCCAGGTTGGATAACGAAGGTGGATTTCCTTCCCTAAAGAATATTGATGAACCATCCGCTGATTCCTGACTGATTCCACTGAAACTGAGTGAGAAAATGCTTCTCAAATGTAGCATAGTTTTGGGCACCATATGCACTCAGGTTGCTCATAAACATTTTCAAACCAAAGACAACACCTTTTAAACCCATTACCACTTCTATCTTGAAGGAAATGGACAGCAGATACATGGGAAAGTTCCACCTGCAAGTTCCTCTTCAAGCCACTAACCATCCCGACATGGAAATATTTCATTGTTCCTTCAGTGCCATTGGGTCAAAATCCTCAAATTCCCTCCCAAACAGCTTTGTGGGTCTACCTACAGGACATGGACTGCAGTAGTTCAAGAAGGTAGCTCAATAACACTAGGGCAACTAAAGACAGGCAATAAATATCTGTCCAGCCAGCGATATTCACATCCCATGATTTTAAAAAAAAACAGAAAAAGGTCAGGGTGTCAGATTTGTGAAAGGTTAGACCATAAGACTATAAGAAATAGGAGCAGAATTAGGCCTTTCAACCCTTTGAGTTTACTCTGCTATTCGACCATGGCTAATATATTTCTCAACCCCATTCTCTTGCCTTCTCCCCATAACCCCTGATCCCCTTACCAATAAAGAACCCATCTCTGTCTTAAATACACTCAATGACTTGGCCTCCACAGCTCTCTGCAGCAATGAGTCATTCTCAGTGGATTTGGAATTGAATCATGAAAGGGTGAAGTTTGATTTCATTTGATTTATTATTGTGACATGCACCTAAGTACAGTGAAAAGTTTTGTTTTGCGTGCAGCACAGCAGGTCATAACATACAAAGACACAAAGATCATAGGGTGGTTGAATGCAATAAGGAATACAAAGTTACAACTGCAAACAAGGTGTACAAAAGGCAAGATCAACATTAGATTTGAAATTTGAAAGGTCAATTCAGAAGTCTAATAACAGTGGAGGAGATGCTGTTCTTCAACCTTTGGCACATGTGTTTAAACTTTTGTATCTTCTGCCTGATGGGAGAGGTTGGAAGAGATTATGACTGGGGTAGGAGGGGTCTTTGATGATGTTAGCTGCCTTTCCGCAGCAACAAGAAGTGTCAATGGAGTCAATGGATGGAAGGTTGGCTTACGTGATAGTCTGGACTGTGTTCATAACTCTCTATAGTTTCTTACGGTCCTGGGCGGAGCAGTTGCCGTACCAAACTGCGATGGATCCAGATAGAATGCTTTCTATGGTGCATCTGTGAACATTGGTGAGGGTCCTTATAGAAATGCTGAATTTCCTTAGCCTCCTGAGGAAGAAGATGTGTTGTTGTGCTTTATCCAGCCGCTGAATGACATGAGTGATGGTGAATCAGTTGCAAAATTACAACAAGAATGGAAAATTGAGATTCCCAACA